GTCGTTTAAGGCAAACTGTTAATGATTGTTTGACATTTCTAGAAGATGTAACCTGCTGGCGTACATGACAAAACTCATTAGTTTGGAGACATATATACAGAATCTTGCAATGTTTACATTAACATCATTTTTCTTGCAACTAATGACCCCTAACCTGCAGAGCAGACGCACGTCTCCACCTCTGATTACTCCAAGTTGCTTTGAGTCACAGAGTTTGACTGCAGCTCTTTCCCTCCAGCTTCATGTCTGCTGAGTCACACTTCCCTCCTCCTCTCTTTCCTGTAAATTCAGCGTCAGGCTGTCGTTACGATTATACATGCATCCCCCTTTTGCTGCTTCAAGCCTTTTGGATCATCTCAGTTCAGATTCACAACATGTACAGCTGCACTTTGCATGTGTTTTACTTTGATAGATGTAGAAGGTAGTGGGAAGTGGACTTTTAGGTTTGTTGCAAAGTGGGGAAGTTATTTAAAGAGGCCCTATTCTGCTTTTTGAAGTTTTTCCTTTCCTGTAGTGTTATATAGGTTTTAGTGCATGTAAATGGTCTGCAAAAGCAAAAAAATCCCTGTGTCTCATGTCACAGTATGGCACAAAATACTCAAATGAACCTGAAAATGAGCCGAGAAGTACAATTCTTGCTCATTTTCTGCAGAAATGATTAGGTAAGAAACAGGAAATTGTCACGCTTAAATAACGAGCACCAAAGATAAACAACTATGTAAGAAAATATCTGATAGTTTGATGAAAAAGACAAAAGGTACAGGTGCAATGCGTAGAAGGGAAGTCTCTTCTACAAAGTGGTGGAATTTATTTAAAGGGGCCCTACTCTGCTTTTTGGGTTTTCAATTTCCTGTAGTGTTATATAGGTTTTAGTGCATGTCAATGGTCTGCAAAGGCTTAAATCCCTTTGTCTCATGTCACAGTAGAGGCAACAAATACTAATACAATCCCCAAAATGAGTCTAATTTAAGAGTCCAGAAGTAAAATTCTTGCTAATTCTTTTGTAGAAATTATTAGGTAAGAAACACTAAATCGTCGCGCTTAAATAACCAGCACCAAAGATGAACAACTATGTAAGAAAATATGTGATTGTTTGATGAAAAAGACACGAGGTACATGTACAATGAGTAGAAGGGAAGTTGCATCTCAATGAACTTCAAATTCTGTTGTTGCCGGTTTAATTTGTAATGAATGTGGAAGCTTTGGCTCTGTGACTTGTTCCTGAAAACATCAGGAAAAAGTCAGATTCGTCATTTTAGCGCCTGGTTTCTGATTATGTGGACTTGATTTTGGAAATGAGCCATAATCACAATTACTGCAGCGCATCAATCAGTGATGATGCCAAACTCGGCTGATTTCTTTGAGTTGTTTTTCAAAAAAGGTATAATTTGGTTTTGATTACAAACTAAATGTTTTCCACATTCAGTCCTGAAGAACAAAAACATTCACAAACGACTGAACTGGGAAGTTTTATTGTAAAAATCAAAACAATTGTACATTGTGTGTGTCCTTGAGGCTTAACATTTTTAAAACATTTAACGCCTACATTTCTTATATTTATGTTCGCCCGTTCGTCTGCTGCTTTTCTGTGTTACTAGAATTGTTATTTCACAAAGCGTCGCCTCAATGAAAAGGAGAGAAAAACCATCTGCAAAAAAACAAACAGTGGAGGAACGTAACAAAGGACCTTATTTTTCATTTTATTTTAATCTTTACAATTTGTAGTCAACTTTATTGTCAATCTTCCAGTTTGTGTGTAAGTAAGTAAGTACAACTTTATTTATATAGCACCCTTCTCAACACGGATGTACAAAGTGCTTTACAGTACACAGGACACAATTCACAGTACAACTATAACATGTAGAATAAAATGCATAAAACAACAGCAGGTAACACATAGGATAAAACACCAATGAAAGACAGCCACTAACTCACCTCCTCCTCCTCCTCCTCCTCCTCCTCTTCCGGCGACCCAAAGGTCTGTCGGAAAAGGTGGGTCTTTAACTGCCCCTTAAAAATCTCTATTGAGACAGAGGCTCTTAGTTTCTGGGGGAGTTTGTTCCAAAGCCTTGGGGCCACCGCCTCAAAGTCTCTTAGTCTTTAGCCTGGTTCGGGGCACCCTTAGGAGGCCCTTAGTCTTTAGCCTGGTTCGGGGCACCCTTAGGAGGCCCTTAGTCTTTAGCCTGGTTCGGGGCACCCTTAGGAGGCCTTGCTCAGAGGACCTCAGGGCCCGGGTCGTGCTGTGAGGGTGGATCAGGTCGTTAACGTAGGCTGGGGCTTGGCCATGGACAGCTCTATATGTGAAGACCAATACCTTGAAATGGGTTCTGGGATGGACAGGGAGCCAGTACAGGGAGCCAGTGCAGGGAGCCAGTGCAGGGAGCCAGTGCAGGGAGCCAGGACAGGGAGCCAGTGCAGGGCAGAAAGGACAGGGAGCCAGTGCAGGGAGCCAGTGCAGGGAGCCAGTGCAGGGAGCCAGTGCAGGGAGCCAGTGCAGGGAGCCAGTGCAGGGCAGAAAGGACAGGGAGCCAGGACAGGGAGCCAGTGCAGGGCAGAAAGGACAGGGAGCCAGTGCAGGGCAGAAAGGACAGGGAGCCAGTGCAGGGAGCCAGTGCAGGGAGCCAGTGCAGGGAGCCAGTGCAGGGAGCCAGTGCAGGGCAGAAAGGATCGGAGTGATGTGGCATGTTGTTTTGGAGCGAGTGAGCAATCTGGCTGCAGCATTTTGGACCTGTTGTAACCGGTTTATTGATGTTTTGTTGAGGCAGGAAAAAAGAGCATTGCAATAATCAAGCCGGGATGAAATAAAGGAATGGATAGCCATCTCCAGTTCTCGGTACAGACAGAGAGATCGAAATACCGTTTCCCACAATCCAGAGGAATACAAAATACAAATATATATAAAAATATGTATACCTTTATATACACAATCAGACACATTTATACATGCTCACATTAAAGACATAATATATACAAAATAATACTTCTGTACTTCTACTTAAGTTTCCCTTTCAATTCAGGACTTGTACTTGTAATGGAGTAATGTCTACGTCTACTTAAGTGAAGGATGTACTTCTTCCATCACTGGATATAAACACACCTCATGAAACATTTTATTTATTTAAGTTTTCCGCACTCTCGTGGGAATATCTCCGCAATGGAGCGAGCTTAAGTTTCACTTCCGATTGCATGATAGAGCCCAGCGCAACACCTTCGTCACACATGTTGCCACTTGTTTGTATCATTTTCAGGCGTTTTCTAATCTGTTCTAGAAAAATGTGATTTTTAGGATTTCAAGAAGCATATAGAACAAACAATGGATGTATTTTATGAACATTTATCCATGCTGGAAGTAGAATTAGAATTATTATTATCTAATATATGCATCCAATGAAGCATTGATGATCAGAGGCTGTTGTTGGGGCTTCAAAAACGTTTTTTTATTTTTGTTTTGAAGGCAGACCATGCAGGCCAGCCCGATGGTCACCAAGGTTCATGTTTTAATAGCATTTTTGCAAAAAAAGCCCAGACGAGCCTAACGTGAACAAAGGGCTCAGACCTCAGAGAGTTAAACTTGGGCCTGCGACCATAGTTTTACTGTATTTTGTTTTGAAAATCCACAGCGGAGGTTTGTGTCGTACTACATGCGGTGTGTTTTGCATATCTCTCAGTAGCCAACGATCTGTGAGTCTGTTGGCTCGGACATAAACTCCGTAATAAATGTAGTCTACATTTCATAAGAGGTGTAAAACCTGTGAGCATTTTAAATCGCATTTGAACTAAATGCTTATATAATCTGTAGTTGTATTTGTATTGTTGATTTAATGTGTGAACGAGGCGATACAGAGAAGGTTAGGCTGTCATTATTAGGCTGTAATTTGTTATAAACTGTTGGAGTGTTAAGCAGCCTATCGGAGTTACGTCGTCCGTGAGTGTTTTTTGGTCCTTGGTATGAAAAAGTTTGAGAAACACTGCACTAGTGTTTTGTCAAAGGGGTGAGCCTCGCTTCGGGGAAATTATACAGATGGCCAGCCCGCCCCTGAAAAATGTCTATGCACACGTTATTATTAATAATAATTTAAAAAAAATTGATTTAAATTTTTTTTAATTAATTTTCAATTTTTATTTTGTAATCATCTCGCGACCCCCACTTGGGGTTGGGGGTCCGCGACCCCCACTTTGGGAACCCCTGTAATAGGAGACCTTTAACACCGTCTAAAAGTACTCTACTGCAGGTAAAAGTCCTGCATTCAAATATTACCCACAGTAGAAGTATTTTCAGAAACATGTAACCACATGTAACCTCCATAAATACCTCATTTTTGTGAGTTTTTTTCATAGTGTGCCAGCTTACTTATGTTTAGAAAATGTATTTGTTGAGTTAACCTACAGTTGCCAATTTTGAGCAAAACACTTCAGAGACATGTTTTTTATATATTTTTATATATCTGAGACCTATAATATATGCCTAAAAATAGTATAATAGGAGACCTTTAAGTGAAGGATGTACTAATTCCTTCACTATAGCACTCCTAGTGGTCGAATCCTCCAATTTTCCTTAAGCCCTGCCTCCTGCAATCAAGCCCCGCCCCCTCTCGGCTAAGTAGATTGAATGAGAGAGAAAATAAATCCAGATTCAGTTTTTAGTGCATTTTACAACTCTTAGGACCTAATGATTCTAATAAGGGCTATACAATAGTTCATACTGGGTAGTTTATTTAGTTTTAAAAAATGTATCCGCTGATTTACAGACGTCTCTTTCCCCATGTTAGTCACTGGGAAAAAGTCTTTCTGGGCCCAGTGACGTCACGGACTGATAAAGAAATTGTAGTACCGCCGTTTGGACACAACGAATATTTTCTTCAGAGTCCGTAGCAATTCCTGGGGGCTTGGTTTTAACTCGACCCTGGTGGTGTTAAAGTACTTCTTGTTTGTCATTCTGTTGTGTTGTGTGGATTGTGCGAGTGTTTGTGTGTCTATCTCACGTTGTGGTCCCTGTGTAGGAGGGTCCCTACGTGATGCTGAAGAAGAACTGGGAGATGTACGAGGGCAACGACCAGTACGAGGGTTACTGCGTGGACCTGGCCTCGGAGATCGCCAAACACATCGGCATCCGATACAAGATCTCCATCGTTCCTGACGGGAAGTACGGAGCCAGGGACCCGGAGACGAAGATCTGGAATGGGATGGTCGGGGAGCTGGTGTACGGGGTGAGAAATCTGATATTTATACTCTTATACCCCTTTAATGATCTGTTCTAGTCAGAGGTGGGAAGTAGTGGAGTACAAATACTTTGTTACTTAAGTACATTTTTCTGGTATCAGTACTTTACTCCACTACTTATTTTTCTGATGACTTTTTACTTTGACTTCTTACATGTTGAACACAAATACCTGTACTTTCTACTTCTTACATGTTGAACACAAATACCTGTACTTTCTACTTCTTACATGTTGAACACAAATACCTGTACTTTCTACTTCTTACATGTTGAACCCAAATACCTGTACTTTCTACTTCTCACATTTCCCAAACAGGCTGGTTCCTTTAGTTTGAATGTGTGTTTGGTGGCGTGATCATTATTATTTAGAGTCATTGCGTGCCTATTGATTTGAACACGATCCGTGTATCCATCATTTCCTGGTCTTCTCTAAAGAAGAGGGACCAATGAAAACGTTGTCATGTTGCCGTTGTTCAGCATGGAAACATTCATTAGCTAACAATGACATTATTGTTCTATTAATATAAAGGGAGGTCAGGTACTCTTTAAAACAGCTGCTAGTTATGGGTACTTTTTACTGAAGTACATTTCAAAGCCCATACTTCTTTACTTTTACTTGAGTAAAGAAGTTTAGTCAGTACTTCTACTTTCACCAGAGTATTTTTAAACACAAGTATCTGTACTTCTACTTGAGTAAAGGATGTGTGTACTTTTACCATCTCTGTCTAGTTCCATGTTGGGGCTGGGTTTTTTCAACCTGGGAACCATTTGAAGGTCACCTTTAAGCAAAATCCACTTTTTCATGTCTTTTCTACATACCCATATGTCCCCTCTCTTATTTTAAACAGCATATCCGTGCATGCTTTTTGGAAATGTGTGTCGAACCCCCTCAAGTTACCTCAGTAATATACAAATGGAGGATGCATGCAGAATAAAGCTTTTTCAGACGGTGGACAGACGTCTTCTTGACAGATAGTATTTATTTTTCTGCAGAGTTGTACCTAATCCCCCCGTGTGTTGTTTACCGTGAGGATAATTAAGTCTGAAATGAAACTGTAAACAGGCCGGTGTGTCTCTGGTGGTTTTAAAAGCCAGCAGGAATTAGTGGAGCATTAGAGCCGAGCTGCAGGAGGAGGAAACGGAGAGATGTGGAGGTGTGGAGCTCGTTAAAAAACAACCTCAGAGGTGACCGTTCGATATTTTAGGGGTGAGGTTTCTCTCTGACCCTGCAGTGCGATCAAAAAGCTTATATGCTGGGATTTGACGGCCTTAAAAGACATCAAAGTAAAGAAAAGAGAAGTGTTTGTGTCCTTGAGCTACAGCAGGACTGAAACTGGATCGATATCCAACTTATTCTGTATATTTTATATTGAGTAAGCTATTCTGTAGACACTTTACTGCCTTAATGTGCAATTTGGGATCAGTAGAGTACATTTATTCTTACGTCATCTAAATCTAATATAAACTGCACTATTTTTATCGTATCCTCGAGTTACATTGACTTCCTGTTTTACGGCGTAAGGATCTTTTTTAACAGTAAAGACTTTAACGATGTTTGATCCTTAAAGTCTTAAGATTTTAAGAGTTTGTTCAAATACAGCAGCATCGAATGGTCAAAGAAACGACTTCCTGTTGGTTTAACGGTCTCACTCCAATATGTTTGGGTTACATAAACCCACCAAACTTCAGATTTGTAGGACAATTGTACAAATACTATAGGGGCTGCCTTCTTGGCGTCGTCGTTGCATATTTCCTAACATGTTCACCATGTTTTCATGCCAAAGAAAGGGCATTTCGGAGCACTTTAAGACATTCAAAACTCTGTTCCTTTAGTGTGAACAACAACCTGACCTTTTTTGCCGCTTGGACCCTAATCAAAACCATGTTCAATTAATAAAAGTCCTCTATGTCACAAGAGTTATTAACCCTTTATCCAGAGGGAGGAAGTAGTGGAGTACAAATACTTCATTACTGTACTTAAGTACATTTTTCTGGTATCAGTACTTTACTCCACTACTTATTTTTCTGACGACTCTTTACTTTCTACTTCTTACATGTTGAACCCAAATACCTGTACTTTCTACTTCTTACATGTTGAACCCAAATACCTGTACTTTCTACTTCTTACATGTTGAACACAAATACCTGTACTTTCTACTTCTTACATGTTGAACACAAATACCTGTACTTTCTACTTCTTACATTTTGAACACAAATACCTGTACTTTCTACTTCTTACATGTTGAACACAAATACCTGTACTTTCTACTTCTTACATGTTGAACCCAAATACCTGTACTTTCTACTTCTTACATGTTGAACACAAATACCTGTACTTTCTACTTCTTACATGTTGAACACAAATACCTGTACTTTCTACTTCTTACATGTTGAACACAAATACCTGTACTTTCTACTTCTTACATGTTGAACACAAATACCTGTACTTTCTACTTCTCACATGTTGAACACAAATACCTGTACTTTCTACTTCTCACATTTCCCAAACAGGCTGGTTCCTTTAGTTTGAATGTGTGTTTGGTGGCGTGATCATTATTATTTAGAGTCATTGCGTGCCTATTGATTTGAACACGATCCGTGTATCCATCATTTCCTGGTCTTCTCTAAAGAAGAGGGACCAATGAAAACGTTGTCATGTTGCCGTTGTTCAGCATGGAAACATTCATTAGCTAACAATGACATTATTGTTCTATTAATATAAAGGGAGGTCAGGTACTCTTTAAAACAGCTGCTAGTTATGGGTACTTTTTACTGAAGTACATTTCAAAGCCCATACTTCTTTACTTTTACTTGAGTAAAGAAGTTTAGTGAGTACTTCTACTTGTACCAGAGTATTTTTAAACACGAGTATCTGTACTTCTACTTGAGTAAAGGATGTGTGTACTTTTGCCATCTCTGCCTTTATCCAATGTAAGTTTGCAGCAAAAGCCCTTCAGTGAATACATCTCAGACCTCACTTTTTCTAGTCTTTTTTTTTGCGGTTTGGCTCAGTGGCATTTTCACAAAGTGGCATTTTTCTCTCCGGCTCCTCTGTGGCTCTGCAGTGAGTCACAGAGAAGTGTCAGGTTTGATCAAGCAGAACACAGCACTTTTGGTGTAAAAAGACTAACCAGGTTGGTCCAAAGCACGGGAATCAAAAGTGCAGCTGTGTTCTCCTCTCGCTAACAAGCTCTGTGAGCGAAACTCTTCCTGTCTTTACGCTTCGCTGTGAATGTGAGACATGAAAATATAAAAGGTGCCGTCCCCACTGTACGTGACGAGACTGCAGACAAAATATCACTGGTCACCGGCTTGCTCTTCAATCTCAGGATCCATGTATCTCTGATCCTCTCCAGAATGGAAGTAGTCATCACATACAGAGCATCAACTAGTTCCTGAACAGTGTCCTTCACATGCTGATATCCAAGAAAGGGAGTTACACAGTCACAAGATGGAGGAATATATTCTCAACATTCTGACTTTTTCTCAAAATCCTGACTTTTTCCTCAAAATCTCAAAATCCCCAAAAATCTGACTTTTTCAAAAAAATCTGACTTTTTCAAAAAAATCTGACTTGTTCTGACTTTTTCAAAAAAATCTGACTTTTTCTGACTTTTTCAAAAAAATCTGACTTTTTCTGACTTTTTCAAAAAAATGACTTTTTCAAAAAAATCTGACTTTCAAAAAAAAATGACTTTTTCTGAAACATCTGACTTTTTTTCTCAAAAATCTGACTTTTTCTCAAAAATCTGACTTTTTCTGAATACTTAAAAATGTTAATAATCACTGGTCCCCGGCTTGAGCTTCAATCTCAGGATCCATGTATCTGTGATCCTCTCCAGAATGGAAGTAGTCATCACATACAGAGCATCAACTAGTTCCTGAACAGTGTCCTTCACATGCTGATATCCAAGAGAGGGAGTTACACAGTCACAAGATGGAGGAATAGAAAGCAGTATTCAATGTTTACTTCAGATTAGCTCCACGTCAGAAATGAGCATGCTTGTCATATGTCTATCTCCATAGAGGCTGAATCATCATGTTAATCATACCTTTGTTATCATGTTACTCTCATATTGGAAGAGGACATTCAGTGTTTTCCCAACAGTCGTGTACAGGAAGCTACACAATGCATGCTGGGATACCTGCGATGGTGGCTTTATTAATGTAAACATCGCTTTTTTTGTTTCGGTGAAATATAGTTGTTTTTTCAAAGCAGCTGTTTTAGGTCTTAGCAGAAAAGACAAGATATTTGTCCATGTTGATGTTACACATGGAGCTGCTGTGATGCAAGTCCAATTTCAGACTTGCTCTGACCATTAAAGTATTATCGTATCATATCGTGAAGACCTTGGTGTCCATATAGCTGCTTTTTCTGGCAGAAAGGCGGTGTGCAAAGCCTCCTCGCAGCATTTCATCAGAAAAGAGCTCCTTGCACCTTTGTATTGTTTTTATGACCCTTTAACAAAGTGTTCGCTGCCTTATTGCGAACCAGGTGTTCAGGTTTCCACTGCAGTGGAGACCAACCTGAATCCAGAAGTCATTCTTTCATTTGATATGGCTTCAAAAGAGCAACATGTCAACAACGCAGTACAGCATTGTTGTTGTTATTTACTCTGGCGTTGCTAAGAAATGCTGCGACTTCAAACAAACGCTGACGCCGGCACTCTGGTTGGTGGAAAAGCTAACTGGTTTCGTAATTGGCTAAAACATTGCAAACCGTAGCGAACAAATTCAAGATTCAATTCAAGATTCAAGGCTTTATCATCATGTGCACATCAGCTAGTGTAGGCAATAAAACACTTAGGTCACAGGCTCCTCCAACAGAGCAATGTAGAGGACATAGAACAAATACAACAGATCAAATAGTGCAAGTAAATACAAATCAAATAGAAATAGTGCAAGAAGAGTCTATATACAAGTAAATGGAATATGATATATTAGATCAATAATTAGCAAGATGCAAACAGATGAATGTTTATGGATGTTCTTTAAAAAGACAAGATATCTTGACACGTGTAAATAAACCCTAACACAATGTACCGCTTTGGGTCAAACAATGCCAGTGAAAGGCCCTCACAAGTACAGATATACAGTTATATATGTGTGTGTGTTTAAGAATATATGCTGTGCACCAGTGTGTGTTTTCAGCATCGCTTCATAGTGTGTGATTCGGGCAGCTTTTTCTACAGCGTTCATGTGAAGGACATCAGCACTTTCCCCTCTGAGACTTTTCTTATAGCATCTATTCATTTCTTCGCGGTTCAAAAACAGAAAACACACACACACACACACACACACACACACACACACAAAAGCCCTGCCTTCTTCTAACCTGGCATGTTTTTTAGCACGCACTAAATGCCCCCAGGCTGTCATCTTAGTGCATTTTGCTGAGGATGAAAGAACTTAAATCTCTTTCATTTTCTCCCCTCTTGTTTTCTCCGGTCCTGCCTCCCTATAAATGTCAGCTGGTCGTTATGAAACTCTAAATTTGTGCTGATATTAAGCCCTTTTGCTCCAGAGCCGGAAGGACAAGGTCACAAGTGATGCTAAGTCACTAACTATAATCTCGTTTGTGCACTTTTTCACAGCTGCAGACCTCAGGGGTTGCTCTATCACATTTTGCTCTTCCTCTGCTGTAAGCATATTTTCTCCGACACATGATTTTCTCCTCCCTGCTGATTCTCCCGGAGTTTCAGCTAAGCCTCTCAGCATTAGAGACAGAAAGACTTTTCTTTCCTAACTTGATCACTCCGAGATGTATGAGTGGTGCAGTGATGACGCATTACTGCAGGCTGACCCTGAAGATATAGCATCTCCTTTGATCCCTCCAAAAAAAGCCAATGGGATTTCTCCATGTGATTTTGGATTATTGCAGAAAATAATCTCTGTGTAAAAAAAACATTTATGATACTTACATGTTTTGTTCAGCAGGATAATCTCCACATATTAACATCACTTTATGATTTCTGAAGTAAAAAGCTAATGTTGGGCTATAAAGGAACTACAGCACGGTCACATGACTTCACGTCACCACCGCTAAGCTAAAGGTGGCTAATGTTGGGCTATAAAGGAACTACAGCACGGTCACATGACTTCAAGTCACCACCGCTAAGCTAAAGGTAGCTAATGTTGGGCTATAAAGGAACTACAGCACGGTCACATGACTTCACGTCACCACCGCTAAACTGGAGGTGGCTAATGTTGGGCTATAAAGGAACTACAGCACGGTCACATGACTTCACGCCACCACCGCTAAGCTAAAGGTAGCTAATGTTGGGCTATAAAGGAACTACAGCACGGTCACATGACTTCAAGTCACCACCGCTAAGCTAAAGGTAGCTAATGTTGGGCTATAAAGGAACTACAGCACGGTCACATGACTTCACGTCACCACCGCTAAGCTAAAGGAGGCTAATGTTGGGCTATAAAGGAACTACAGCACGGTCACATGACTTCACGTCACCACCGCTAAGCTAAAGGAGGCTAATGTTGGGCTACAAAGGAACTACAGCACGGTCACATGACTTCACGTCACCACCGCTAAACTGGAGGTGGCTAATGTTGGGCTATAAAGGAACTACAGCACGGTCACATGACTTCAAGTCACCACCGCTAAGCTAAAGGTAGCTAATGTTGGGCTATAAAGGAACTACAGCACGGTCACATGACTTCAAGTCACCACCGCTAAGCTAAAGGTAGCTAATGTTGGGCTATAAAGGAACTACAGCACGGTCACATGACTTCACGTCACCACCGCTAAGCTAAAGGAGGCTAATGTTGGGCTATAAAGGAACTACAGCACGGTCACATGACTTCACGTCACCACCGCTAAGCTAAAGGAGGCTAATGTTGGGCTACAAAGGAACTACAGCACGGTCACATGACTTCACGTCACCACCGCTAAACTGGAGGTGGCTAATGTTGGGCTATAAAGGAACTACAGCACGGTCACATGACTTCACGTCACCACCGCTAAGCTAAAGGAGGCTAATGTTGGGCTACAAAGGAACTACAGCACGGTCACATGACTTCACGTCACCACCGCTAAACTGGAGGTGGCTAATGTTGGGCTATAAAGGAACTACAGCACGGTCACATGACTTCACGTCACCACCGCTAAACTGGAGGTGGCTAATGTTGGGCTACAAAGGAACTACAGCACGGTCACATGACTTCACGTCACCACCGCTAAGCTAAAGGAGGCTAATGTTGGGCTACAAAGGAACTACAGCACGGTCACATGACTTCACGTCACCACCGCTAAACTGGAGGTGGCTAATGTTGGGCTATAAAGGAACTACAGCACGGTCACATGACTTCACGTCACCACCGCTAAGCTAAAGGAGGCTAATGTTGGGCTACAAAGGAACTACAGCACGGTCACATGACTTCACGTCACCACCGCTAAACTGGAGGTGGCTAATGTTGGGCTATAAAGGAACTACAGCACGGTCACATGACTTCACGCCACCACCGCTAAGCTAAAGGTAGCTAATGTTGGGCTATAAAGGAACTACAGCACGGTCACATGACTTCAAGTCACCACCGCTAAGCTAAAGGTAGCTAATGTTGGGCTATAAAGGAACTACAGCACGGTCACATGACTTCACGTCACCACCGCTAAACTGGAGGTGGCTAATGTTGGGCTATAAAGGAACTACAGCACGGTCACATGACTTCACGTCACCACCGCTAAGCTAAAGGAGGCTAATGTTAGGCTACAAAGGAACTACAGCACGGTCACATGACTTCACGTCACCACCGCTAAACTGGAGGTGGCTAATGTTGGGCTACAAAGGAACTACAGCACGGTCACATGACTTCACGTCACCACCGCTAAGCTAAAGGTGGCTAATGTTGGGCTACAAAGGAACTACAGCACGGTCACATGACTTCACGTCACCACCGCTAAGCTAAAGGTAGCTAATGTTGGGCTACAAAGGAACTACAGCACGGTCACTTGACTTCACGTCACCACCGCTAAGCTAAAGGTAGCTAATGTTGGGCTACAAAGGAACTACAGCACGGTCACATGACTTCACGTCACCACCGCTAAGCTAAAGATGGCTAATGTTGGGCGTGATGACGTCTAGTCGTCTCATTTAGACACTTGTTAGCATCTGCCGTTTTTGAATTCACCAGTGGGGTATTTACTGACGTGTTTCATATCATAGGACAAAAATCTCTTCAGCTTGTGTTAACCACAGACCTTATTTTAGGCTTACATCCAAAAACATGTTCAGAAAACCATTGACCTCCAGACAAGCCATATTTTGGGGCACACATGTTTGTCTGAAAGTCTTATGTTCGTCCCGGCTCTCCCTGTTTTTTCTACACTGTACCTTTGCCGCTGTAACACCATAAATACCCCGCTGCAAGACAAAATAAAACCTTGTTCCTGATTCTCATTCTCAATTCTCCTCCCCAGAAAGCGGAAATCGCTGTGGCCCCATTGACAATCACGTTGGTCCGGGAGGAGGTGATCGACTTCTCGAAGCCCTTCATGTCGTTGGGTATCTCCATCATGATCAAGAAGCCCCAGAAATCCAAACCGGGGGTGTTCTCCTTCCTGGACCCGTTGGCCTACGAGATCTGGATGTGCATCGTGTTCGCCTACATCGGCGTGAGCGTGGTGCTCTTCCTGGTCAGCCGCTTCAGCCCGTACGAGTGGCACACCGAGGAGCCCGAGGAGGGCACCGACGGTCCGCCCAGCGACCAGCCCCCCAATGAGTTTGGCATCTTTAACTCTCTCTGGTTCTCCCTGGGAGCCTTCATGCAGCAGGGCTGTGACATCTCCCCCAGGTAGGACACATGCTCTATTAGCTTTTCATTTGTAATTCAACATGTATTGTTTGAAAAATATCACTCATCACCGGCTTGAGCTTCAATCATCAGGATCCATGTATTTATCTCCTACACACTACATACTGATATACACCTGAACATCAGCAGGAGAGGACTCTTTAAAGTAGAGACACTACATACTGATATACACCTGAACATCAGCAGGAGAGGACTCTTTAAAGTAGAGACACTACATACTGATATACACCTGAACATCAGCAGGAGAGGACTCTTTAAAGTAGAGACACTACATACTGATATACACCTGAACATCAGCAGGAGAGGACTCTTTAAAGTAGAGACACTACATACTGATATACACCTGAACATCAGCAGGAGAGGACTCTTTAAAGTAGAGACACTACATACTGATATACACCTGAACATCAGCAGGAGAGGACTCTTTAAAGTAGAGACACTACATACTGATATACACCTGAACATCAGCAGGAGAGGACTCTTTAAAGTAGAGACACGACATACTGATATACACCTGATCTTTAAAGCTTGCAAGCATGGCTTCTTCTACAAGTTTGCACGCTACAGTAAGTAAGACAACTTTTAAGGTAGTAAGTCAGAACAATAAATCACACACACATCACATAAACACGGGTGTAAAAGGGAGTCACTTTGTTTCTCCTATACCTTAAAACATGTGTCACTCCAGGATGTCTTTAAAGGTACATTTTAGACACATTTTAAACCACAGTCAAATAATTCAATCCCTAAAATGGTACAACAGTCTCTGAATGTTCCCAACAAAGTCTACTTTCCTGTCCTCAGGCCAGGGACACATTACACGACTTTTAGGCCAGTTATAATCAATATGTGCCGTCACGTCCGTTAGTCTAGACGAAACTCAAATCTCTCGTCTGCCAGTCCTGTTGAGACGTTCGTCATTATTTAAAACCAATCAGATGTGTGATGGACACATCTTGACAGCCTCCAGTGACAGAAAGAAGAACAATCAGCATGCCGCTCACTCTGGATCATGTTTGAGTTCATAAATCCAGATATCTGTCCAACTGGAGATGATCTCAACTTATAATGAGGTTTAGTTTTTATATTTGTACACTCTATGTAATGTGTCCCTAGCTTGATTCACAATATATGTAATATTGAAGCTGCAGCTTTCATCATAAACCATGGAAAGATTTCACACAAATGGATTTAAACTGCAACATGACGGCATTTATTTATTTAAGAAAGGCTTGTTGTTTCCCTCCGTTTCTAGTCTTTATGCTAAGCTAAGCTAAACACATTGCATGTCCACCTTTTCTTTTAACCTACAGTCATGACATTGATATTTCTTCTCACTCTTGTAAAGAACACAAATGACCATAGTTTGCAAACATTATTTGAACTTTAGCATCTCCCTCCAAAAAAAGCCAATGGGATTTCTCCATTGGCTTTTGGGTGATTGCAGGAAAGCTAACGTTGTGGCTATAAAGGAACTACAGCGCGGTCACATGACTTCAGGTCACCACCGCTAAGCTAAAGGAGGCTAACGTTGGGCTTTAAAGGAACTACAGCACGGTCACATGACTTCACGTCACCACCGCTAAGCTAAAGGCGGCTAATGTTGGGCTATAAAGGAACTACAGCACGGTCACATGACTTCACGTCACCACCGCTAAGCTAAAGGTGGCTAATGTTGTGCTATAAAGGAACTACAGCACGGTCACATGACTTCACGTCACCACCGCTAAGCTAAAGGAGGCTAATGTTGGGCTATAAAGGAACTACAGCACGGTCACATGACTTCAGGTCACCACCGCTAAGCTAAAGGAGGCTAATGTTGGGCTATAAAGGAACTACAGCACGGTCACATGACTTCACGTCACCACCGCTAAGCTAAAGGAGGCTAATGTTGGGCTATAAAGGAACTACAGCACGGTCACATGACTTCACGTCACCACCGCTAAGCTAAAGGAGGCTAATGTTGGGCTATAAAGGAACTACAGCACGGTCACATGACTTCACGTCACCACCGCTAAGCTAAAGGTGGCTAATGTTGTGCTATAAAGGAACTACAGCACGGTCACATGACTTCACGTCACCAGCACTAAGCTAAAGGTGGCTAATGTTGGGCTATAAAGGAACTACAGCACGGTCACATGGTTTCATCTGCACTGTTGTACGTCATCTTAACATTTGTAACCTACTTTCATATTATAAGTTATTGCACATATAGAGTGGTGCAGTGAAGATGTTTTGTTGAAAGCTGACCTGGAAGTTAGCCTCTCCCTGGATCCCTGGACAAAAAGCCAATAGGATTTATCCATTATTCCTGCATTACTCTATAATATACTATATCAGTGGTAATGTGCATGGGAACTGTAGTTAAGAAACATAACATAGAGGTATTAAATATTAAGTTTGTGTTGTCTTTACCACAGTGTCCGCTGCTCATGCTGTGTGTGTCCAGCTGTGTGTGTGTGTGTGTGTGTGTGTGTGTGTGTGTGTGTGTGTGTGTGTGTGTGTGTGTGTGTGTGTGTGTGTGTGTGTGTGTGTGTGTGCGTGCGTGCGTGCGTGCGTGCGTGCGTGCGTGCGTGCGTGCGTGCGTGCGTGCGTGCGTGCGTGCGTGCGTGCGTGCGTGGATGCGTGCGTGTTGTTCCAAAGTTTAAAGTGATGTTATTCATTGAGAACATACTGTCACTGTGTCTGTAGCTTCTCCTCCATTTGCACAAATTACATCAATCCCTTGGGGAAAAAACGAACTAAAAAGGTACAAAAGTAGTACTCAAGAAGAAGTACTTACGTAGAAATCTGAGGTAATTGCACTTGATTTGCATAGTTACACCTCAAATCAGAATCAAAATACTTTATTTATCCCGAGAGAAATTCGGTTTCAATTCAGAATAAATTGATAAAAAAAAAAGTTAAAGAATTATTTAAAAAAGTTAAAATAAAATAAAATAGAATACAAATATATATACAAACAAATACAATAAATGTATATTGTATTTTTTACTGCACTACTTTTTTCTTGACAGCTACTAATAACCTTAATGTTTTTATAAATTGATTAATAATAAAATTGTCAAAACGATTTAATCAATTAGTTAATTGGACAACAGAAACATTATTATTGCAGTTAGGATTTGCTGCAATTTAAGTATTTATACCTGGTAATTGACAATTAAGGGGTTTGCATACAATAAATCCCTTAAGATATGAATATGATATGAACAGTATAATAAAGCTAAAACAATTAATCAGTCAATCAATTAGCCGACAGAAGAATAATTAATAATTGAATCTTTAAAAAATATTTTTGGAGATTTTTGCATTTAGCTCTCTTACTTTTAGAAGTACATTTATTTAAGTAACATTTTGAATGTAGGGCTTTTACTATTTTTAACAAAGTTTCTTCACAATGTTGTATAAGCATTTTTACTATATCTGAATACTCTGAATGCTTCGGTGTAAGGCGTGTAGACATTTGAGAAATCTTCAGCTTCCTGTCCGTCATCACGTCTTCATCATGTTAGTGAAACACTAAAGCCTGTAACTCTTAAAGGTTCTCCATTTCCTGTAAAGCCTCTCCATCTGTTGAAATGTTTCTGTCAGGCTTACGGTTCAGGCACATGGATAGTCTGGGTTATTTTAAGAAGCTGCTATAAAAACGGCTCGTATAGTTATTTTAAGTCTCTCATATAGTACGTCTGTTATCTGCTTTAAGCCCGTATGGATCTGATAGAGTTGGTAAGATTATTTAAGAGATGAAAGATGGACCAAACCAAGTCTATATCTTCCAGCAAACACCCCCAAAACCAGCGGAGAAGATGGAGGATCCCACGGTTCATTATATTACGTAAGCAGTGGTGTAGAGTAACTAAGTACATTTACTCAAGTACAATTTAGAGGTACTTGTACTTTACTTGAGTATTTCCATTTGATGCTATTTAGTACTTCTACTCCACTACAGTTCAGAGGTACATGGTGTACTTCTACTCCACTACATGTATTTAATACCTTTAGTTACTTCTCAGATGTGGATGAATGATGTGAAATATAACCAAGTGTTAAATCAGACTTTAGTTCCACCTGGAGTAAATCCACAAGCTACCCTGCAGTATACAAAGTCATTCAAACTAGCTGCACCTTTACCAGCTTTGAGAACACTTTCATGATCAATCATTATAAAACATATCATATATATTATTCTGAAATGGACCAATCTGCACAACGACTACTTTTACTGTACTTTCACTATATTTTGATGAGAATACTTTTCTACTTTCACTTGAGGAACATTTTGAATGCAGGACTTTTACTGTAACAGAGTATTCCTACACTCTGGTACTTCTACTTTTACTCAAGTACCAGACCTGAGTACTTCTACTTTTACTCAAGTACCAGACCTGAGTACTTCTACTTTTACTCAAGTACAATATCTGAGTACTTCTACTTTTACTCAAATACAAGATCTGAGTACTTCTACTTTTACTCAAGTACAAGATCTGAATACTTCTACTTTTACTCAAGTACACAATCTGAGTACTTCTACTTTTACTCAAGTACAAGATCTGAGTACTTCTACTTTTACTCAAGTACAAGATCTGAATACTTCTACTTTTACTCAAGTACACAATCTGAGTACTTCTACTTTTACTCAAGTACAAGATCTGAGTACTTCTACTTTTACTCAAGTACAAGATCTGAGTACTCCTCTCACCTCCTGCTACCTTTAGAGGAGACCTGGGGCCTCATTTATAACGCCTTGCGTAGGATTGACGTAGGAAGGTTGCTTACGTAGTACAAAGCACAAAAATAGGTACATACATTTTCCGCCATTTTCCGATTCACAAAACGTTGCGTACCGGCGAGGGAAGTGCGTACGGCACTCCCTACGCCTGTTTCCCTTGATAAATCACAATCGACTCGTAACGCCCATATTTGCCTATACATAGTCAAAGAAACGCCCATTCATTCATTCATTTTGACTGACTGCA